AGAATGAAGGTAGAGGTGGAGTGGTGCGGCAAGGTGGAAAAATCCACGGAATGCAGTTACTTTCATTTATGGCCTAATCCTTAGGCTTCGCTCACAGAGTACCGTTGCGCCGTTACTCGAGTTACGACAATGTGTCTATGAACACTGGCGCTTCCTTGCACTTCACATTCCTCTTTTTCAATTTTCTTTTTGCTCAAAAGAAAAATATAGAAACGTCACTTGCGCCTTTACTTCTCCTTTTGGAGAATAATATGACCCGGCGATTCCGATAAACGGAAAAAAAATTTTGTTTGTAAACGAGATTACTCAGGAGACACGAGAAAAAAATTAATCCATCCAATGTAATACGATAAGATACACTGAGAAAAAATATTTAAAAATTAACAAATATTTATTAGGTGGCTACCATTGATATATTTAATTAAATCAAAATTCTCCTCATTTAAACCGAGTATTGTTTACTTAAACCGAATATTTTGATCTAAGTAAATATATTAGTGGTTACCTACCTAATAAATATTTGTTAATTTTTAGATTTTTTTCTCAGTATACCCTTTAAGATTCTTTACATCCTTCTCGAACGAACTATCAACGTAGTTTCTATGTTTTTATCTTAGATATGGGAGCTGGTAGATAGCAAGACAGGTTACCTCACGAGAAGCGGACTGTACAAGGGACTCGCGCTCGTCGCTTTCGCTCAGCAAGGGAAGCAACCGAGTGACAAGCTGTTGGAGAACTCTGAGTCTCAAGGTTAGTCGAATCACCCCTTTAAAATCATCTTCAAGGACGAGACGATTGAGTCGCGGATAACGAACGACGTCTTCGGAATTCAGCGGGTCGATCTTATTGCGATATTTTGATCACGAGTCGCGTGATTTCTTTCACTGATTTTTCCTTCAACTCGTTCACTATCAGTGTTTATTCGGGAGACACTCTTCACAAACTATCTCATGTTTTTTTCTTTTCTACATAATTATGTGAGAACAATTTAGTTCAACAAGAGATAGGCACGTATTATGGAACTCTTTGGAATCAATTCCGATCAGAATAATTCCGTTTTCCCTAGAAAAGATTATAGAAACCTAGAGAATAACGGAAATATTCCAATCGGAATCGATTCTGAAGAATTTCATAATACGTGCTATGGACACAAAATGAAAAACAATCTCTGTTGTCACACACACGAAGAGAATTTTATAGTAAAAATTATTGTAGAATTTTGTAATCGAAATACAGAATATGTGTTATTTAAATTTTAGGAATTGAAATTTGTCTAGCGAAACTTGTTCTCTAAATTTCTTGGAATGAAATTTCGCTCGAGAAATGAAGTGACAGCTGAGTCACAAGAATTATAGTTATTTTCCACTTCCATAGAGTGAATCTTCCATTCTGAGTCGTCAAATGAATATTTTCACTCGTCATTGAAGAGTGAATCTGACGCACTCTATTCTGTTATCGAAGGATACATTCACTTCAACTGAAGTCGATTGGAATATTCGCTCACATAAAATCAGAATTTACTCTAAGTTTGAGTGAAACATTCATTGCTTGCTATTTCAAGTGACAGTATTTTCACCAACGCTTTGAGTGAAAACACTGTCACTTTTCACTCGTTTTAAGAAACTGAGATTTCGTTCAAAGAAATTCAGAGAGTACCATATTTCTTAGCAATACATACTTTACTGAAAGTCTATTTCTATATTACTAGAAACGTAATAAAATTGAAAAGAATTTACATAAACAAATAGCACTGTAATATTCTCCCTGTGTATGTAACGCTAATGGCAAACAGATTAATTTCTTTTTATGTACGAGAAAAAAGTTTTGGTTGAACTAACTAAATGTCTGGTGAAATATGAACAAATTCCAATTGAAGTCATCAGAATTCTGTTCAAATTAGCAAGATTCTGGTTAATCAGAAATCTTGCTGAACACAAAATTCTGGTAACTCCGAGCAGAATGCTATTTCATTCATATTTCATCAGACATTTGATTAATCCAAATACACTCAAAAAATTATTTTTGCATTTGGAATTAAAATATTTGGTACATATGATTTTTGTTTGGCATGTTTTTCATTTGTGTCAAATAAGATGTATCAGTGAGAAAGCAAACATACAAGCGGCGATTAAATGGTTTTGGTTGCAATTCTATTTTAACCAAATTTTGCTTTGAAGTATACTAAATTTTAGTTTTATATTTAATTTAAATTTTATATTTAATTTTGTTTCGATAACAAAATCCTTTTTTCTGTGTAAATTATTTTTCCCACGAGATTTTTTTTCCCTACTCGCCGCGAACTTCACGCGATCAAATCAGAACGCGCCATGCATAAATAAGGACGTTCGCACGTGAAACTCGCTCCACAAACGCGGACTGGTACACGAACGGTCTTCCGTGCCGTTGACATCGCGTCGCGCTCCGTATATAGACGTAACGCTGTAAGTAGGTCTTGAATAAGTCTATTATCGGGCAGGTGCTTAGATAATGCTTAAACATGTCTCAGACTATATCGAGAGACCGGTAGAACACCGTTCCCGCCGGAGTCGTTGGCCGGTTAAAATCACATTGCCGTTTTGTTTATCACTAGAAAGTTGCTTGCCATTACCACGCCATGAGAAAACGCACCGCGGTTCGTGTCGGAGAATATACCGATCGCAGCTGCGTAACGCGCGCGTATTGTCGTTTTATTTGCATAGCAAAGAAGAAGCGGAAATACATATTTACCACGTTACCCGCGTGCATTCATCGTGAAGCAGTGAAAACCACGTTACTTTATGTTTCGCACGTTGTATGTCGGTAAAATATCTTATGTAAGGTTTTTGTTGTGTTCTTCATTCTCCATTCTCTTATTTAAAAGCAGAGCAGTAGCATAAACGTGTTGATTAAATATTTTATGCAAATCTTTCTAATTACGTGCGCTAAGAGAAAAATTATCTAAGACATAAAAATATATTTATTCGGTGAGTAAAAATAAAAAAACATTTTTTAAATTTGTAGATATTTTTTCTCTCATTATATTCTTCTCTATCTCTCTTTCTCTCTTTGTCTCTATCCTTTTGTTTGCAAAAAGGTAATTATGAAAACGCAAAATGTTTATTGTGTTATTGTGACGATTATAATAATGTGATACGTTTATTCATATTTTTCCAAGAAGATTGCGCAAGTTGCGAAAAGATTGTAAGTTATATGATAATATCGAGTCATTTCCAGTAAAAGTTTAATAGCCGCAGGATAAACGAGCAACGTTTTACTTCGCGGCTTTGAAAACTTCCCGTCCGCGAATAACAATGTCGATCGATGCTCGTTGCAAAACATTGAGTTACAACTTCGAAGAACGAAAGCGGCTTCGCGATACTTGCTCCCGATACCGCTCGATCCAGGCCCACAAACGGAGAAGGTAGTGAACATCGCAATATTTAGCAAAGTATCGTGGGTCAGGAGACTCTTTCGGTATCGAGGTTACAGTGAGACGGACGATTATTCGTAGGTACGAATAAGAATGAATGCGCGAGATCTCGCTTCGTCGCCGAAGCCCCGGAGAAGTGGAGTCGGCCAAGTAGAACGTATCGCAGGTGACCCGGCAGAGAGTCGCGCGGAAAGAAAGAGAACGTTTCCTCGACCGTTGTCCCGCAGATTCGTTTACCGCGATTTTCTCCTCGTCGTTGGCCTCGCCGGCCCTAACGGCACTACGTGGACGGACTCGACGGTGTCAGTCACGGAAGAAATCGTTGAATTACCGAGCCGCAAAGAGCGATCCCCTGAGTGATCCATATCTTTCTGCGCGCGACCGGGATAGCAATGATGGAAATTAGGACGTTAGTGTGGCATTCCAAAAGAAGACGAGTCTGAGACGACGTACAATCGGTCGCTTTTCGTCATTGGAAACATATCAGCGTGTCAATCGCAAAAAGAACGAAGGTATTCATAGAGAATGATAAACAGAAATAATTACGGGAGGAAAATTAATCAATTAACGAGAAGAGCATTCGGACGTTCGATCAACTGGAGACGAGAAAACCAATAAGAACCGACGTTAGATGGAAATTTCGAAATTCATTTCAACTATAAATAAAATAAAAAATGGGATTTTAAAAAATATATAGAGAGACACAAGAAAGAAAGAGAGAAAGAGAGAGGGGACATTTGCAAAAGTTGTTGGGTTATTAGCCATATTTGTTTTACTAATAGAAACGGAATATTCGATAAAAATATCCTACCATTATTCACCATTATTATATTTCAGATAACTGTTTGACTCATGTCTGTAAAATAATTCATGTTTTGAGCCAATAAAGTCATCAACGACCCGACGAATTTCTGCAAGTTTCAAATACTTGAACTAAAAGTCTCAATTTCGAAATTTACTGGTTTGGCGGAACTGTGAAAATATGGTCTCTCTGTGTTGACACCTAATTTGTCGCGGTTGATACGTAACTGATCGATTTCTATCGCTACCTAACAATCGCACGACTATCGCCACGAAATCGCGACTGAACGCGAACGGCGACAGCCGTTAAATCGCCCAGTGCGTTCTTCGCACGGAAGGAGATACGTTCTTGTTCGTTTTTCCCCGCAGAATTACCCGTACCCGTTCTGGGCGATTTGTCGGAAGTGACGCTTCTCGCGCAGAGGCTACACAGAGGCAGCAATCCCGCCAAGCTGAATCTCACGTACTCGGACATTTGTAATCTGGATAGTATCGAGGTCAATCTCGTTCCCGAGAAGAAGGGTATCTTCCTCAAGCACGTAGAGTATCAAGTCACCAGCAAGGTATCTCCGAGCTCTGTTTTTTCCTATTTTTTCTATTTTCGTTCGTGAAAATACGAAAGAATATAATGCTATTTATTAAAATCGATGTAACATCTGTGTCGTGTAAATTCATTCGTAATAAGTAAGAGTCACGTCAAAATGAAAGAATGCAAGCTCACGCGAAATTTTGCATGCTTTTTAGAGATTCAATTCTGTAGTTGCTATTATTTACAATCGATGTAACGTCTAAGTCGGTTAAATTCAACCGTAACGAGTCACATCGACATAAAAATTAAAAAATGCAAACTCACATTGAATTTTCTACTTTTTTTAGAGATTCAATTCTATAGTATATAGGCGTTACAACGACTTCGTATCGTTGCACGAACTCCTCTTGGCCCGGTTTCCTTATAGACTAATACCCAAGTTACCGCCGAAGAAAATCGTAGGAGGTGAGCATACAAATACGAAGCCAATATTTGTTATCGACATAAACTTCAAGTAAAATTATCGCGACTTTTATCATTTTTTCATCTAATTATTCGAAATTATATCCAATAGCTGCTATTATATAATACTAAATATATGCAATTTCAGGTAATAAACATAACAATATTATACATGGAGAGAATTTTCTAGTAAAAATTACTACAGAATTTGAAATAGATTATATTGAGGGAGATATATCGATAATCTACAATAATTGACTATTCTTTCATTTAATTTTTTCATATGAGTTATTAAAAAATGTATCATATTTCTAGCGAAACCTAGTAAAATTCTAATGAAATTTGGCAACATTTTACTCTGATTTTAAAAGACTTTGTTGACAGTGCTCTTGCACTGCTAGAAACAAAATTGAAAAAAGTTTATATAAGAAAAAAAAATGAATTATAATACTCTCTCCCGTAAAAGTATCGTATCCTTCAAGTATATCTTTCATAAAGAGAGATAAAAATTAAGTCAATTCTATCCAAACTATTATTATAAATAATAATTAGACAATTAATAATAAGATATTTCCTTGTGCAGAACTTTCTCTCATTTTACCACTCTCTTTCATAGCTGACTCGCAATTTCTCGAGGAGAGGAGGCGTTCTCTCTTGCGGTTCCTCACGCTGATCGCTCGCCACCCGGTGGTGAGTAAGGACCCGATCGTTCAATTTTTCTTCACGTACACCGGCGAAGAGACGCAGCACAAAATCCGCGAGGTGTTCAGGAGAGTACCGGACGAGTTCGCGACGTCAGAGCTATCGTCCCGGGCGAAAGAGCTGGTGCCGCCAGAGACGCTGACCGAGTTCGCGAACAGCCGCGATCAAATCCGTGTGATACTGCTCGGGATCTCGCGGCTGAAGAACATCGCCGATTGCCTGGCGATCAGGTCGCATAGTTACGCGGTCGACATGGCCGAGCTCGGCACTCAATTGAGCAACTTGGCCGCGGAGCCGCACGGAGCCAGTTCCTGGGTAACCGGTGGCTCGACTATTTGGCAAGACATGAAGAAAGGCTTCCATATAATATCCAAGTGAATATTCGACTCAGATATTGATCATATTGTTTGCCATTTCAAAGCGCCGCCGTTCTTCTGACATTTTCTGACTTTATGACCTATCAGTTTGATAAGTTCGTCGTATTTGTCAAATAAAATATAAAACGAAATTATATAATTTCGAATCATTTTTACGAATAAAATGAGCAACATCGTAAAATTTTTTTCAGGGAGTTTAATCTGCTGTCGACCAGAGCACTGCAGCAAGCGGTCAGGGAGGAAACCATGGTCTGCGAGAGGCTGAACCTCCTGCTGGATATTTTAGTTGCGCACAGAATGTTGTGCGAGAGACACGAGCGAGGCGTCAGCGCGGATCACCAGCGCGCCCTGTCCACGATGTTGTCCCTCAAGAAGCGGCAGATGCAAGGTGTTATTCGCGGGACCGACGTACGTATCTATCTATTTAAGTTTCATTAGCCTGGCGGAACGTGACTGCCGCTCGCTCGTCACGAAAGCCGCGTGTTTAACGTGCAATTTGACCGGCGGCGATCGCGGTAATCGTGTTTTCGCAATTGCATAATTACTTACTATCAACTTAAGGCAGAGCAATTTGGCGCGGAGAGTCGACGTTCGTAAGGAGCCGGAGGAGTTCGTAACTTCCTATGATCTTATGCAATCCGTCTAAATAAGAATGCGTAGCGCGCGCACACCTCGTTTCGGCAGAGTTTCATGCGACTTTATCGTGCTCTCTCCACAGGCTGACACCGTGGAGTACCTCGAGAACAAGATGGTTGCGCAGGAGTCGGTGATCGCCAACGTCGAGCTGAGAAACTGCTTCTCGCTGCATTGCCTGCACATGGAGACCCAGTTGGTTCACGCGCACTTGGAGATACTCGCAACCGTATTGCAAAGTCTCGTGAGCGTGCAAATACGCGGTCACTCCGAGGTGAGACTCCATATACTTGTCTGTACTTTCCGGCAACGGCTGTTCGGTCTCTTACTAATTATTCATTCATTTTGCAAGCAAACGCGGAGATCTCGGTGAGTTTTTGCACGAAAATAGCAAACAATAGACACTCATAGTCCGATGTAATTAATTTTTCTGAGATTTGCCGTGCAGCAGCTGTTTTTTTCTTTTTAATTATTATTAGAAACTTGTAGAAGTTCATTGTATCGTCGATCATTTCGCTGACTTAAAAAATAAGTCGTTTTAATCATTTTCATCATCTGATAAACGATAAAAAGTGATGGATAACAATGACAAATACTTTAATTAAACATCGCATCTATTCGTTCGTATAATAAAAAGATTGCTAAATATCTGACAACTTCTACAAGCTCTTGATATTATATTACTAAATTAATGCAAATTTGTCGTATTTGTCAAATAAAATAGAAAACTTGTCTAACGTTGAAGAATAAATATTGTCTATGTACTGCATGTATCTCAGAATTATATGTTTACCGTCAGAATGTTTGCATAAATCCCCGGAATCTCGATCCCGGATCCAGGTTGCTGATGTAAATGTTTGTTTACAGCTGGCTGAAGTGTGGAAACTGATCGAACCGACGATTACCAAGTGTTTACCCGAGAAGTTGGCTAGTGGCTCCAACGGGGTCTCATAGCACAGGAAAGTTTCGTGTGTTTGTTCCTGCAGGTCGTGTGTTATCAAATAATTAATAAGCGAGACTCGCAATAGAACAACCTAGCAAATACGATCGCAAAAAACTGTATTACGGAAAACTGTAACGTAAACGCATCACGTCCCGTATTCCCGTCTTAACCGTACTACGGCTGTTCAGAGACAAGAAGAAAAACTTTGAGACTTTTCCCGAAGTTCCAAGTTCTCCTTTCCGGCGCCACGTCGATATTAAGTACGTAGAATTTTGTACTCTCTCCGCCTCCTTGTCTTATAAATCGCTTGGATATTCAGGTGTGCTATGCCACTGGCCGTGCAAGAGGCGTATTTATCTTTTACAATTGTAGCGACCAGAATCTCGAATGTATAGCGCGCATAAATTTTAGACATTCCTTGTTGTGTACTTAATATATTTTATGAACTACCAAATGATATATCTGTAATTCTCTCGCATTGTTATATCGCTTTGTACATATGAAGACTTGTAGGTTGTATATATACGTCTTATATCGATATGAAGTGTCTAAGCAGTGTGTAAATAATTCAAACTGCACTAAACTCTTGAAAGGATTTACATATATTCTTATGCATATGTACGTACTTATACATATGTATGTACGAATAGAAGTCTGAAAGCTTATGGATATTACAAAAGTTCGATCATTTTAATCGGGGGAAGAAAGAACAGACACGTACGAGTCGCGAGATCGATAATACAGCATTAATATAATCTTTGATTCGATTTTTGCGTCGAGTTAACTCACTTGGATTTTATTCTTTCACTTGACCGCTAAATTTTAATAGCGTGTTTGTTACTAATTCTTGTCTTTCTGCATATTGTGATTTTAATATTGTCTGATTCGTACGTTCTTTCATTCTCCGTTTGAAAACTCTTTATACGTCGTGTTGTGCGACTCTGATTATTGTCAATATATGTTGCTTATATTTAAAGTATTGCGAAATTATATAAAAATATATATATTTTTCTTTCGTCTATTCTGAGAGGTTTTTCTCAGAAATAACGTTTTTAACAGAATTAACGTCTGAAAAATTTAATTATCGCGTGATTAAATGTCAAAAGTTAAAAAATTTTTGAAAAAGGTACAATCGAGTTTCCACGGGAGAAAATATATTTTAAAATATTAAAGGATGTCGAACACTCACTAATAGATCTGAGACATTTTACATATTATACTCATGTTTATAACGATGGTGAAAATATATTGTTATTATAAAAATATGATTTTTTTCCTTCTTTTCTCTCACAATGTGTGAACATTCCCATGAAGATGATTACTTTTCGATTCTTTCATAATTGCTCAATACCTGGTAAATTATTAGAAATAATATTTAGCATCGTTTACAGAACTATTAAAAAATGAAACATATTTGGATTTGCTATTGAATCATATTCTATTAGAAAATATAATAGTAATCTGCTTGTCCTTGAGTCGTGCTATTTATAAATAAAAAGTTCGTTTGACTCATCCGTGAGTCATACTGCGATCTCAATTTTCTATCGCAAACGATGACTGATAAAGGACATTTCGGAAATATATTATGCAATAATAGCAGTGTTGTAATCTATATCTAGATACATTTATTTAATTACAGTAGATATATTTATCTAATTACAGTAAATACATTTACCTAATTACAATATCTAGATACTTTATGTATATCTTTTTGTGTTTACTAATTAGATTTTTCATGTCAGTAACTGTATCTGTAACTAATTTCATTTTATCTTGTATCTGTATCTAAGTTTAACACTTTAGATACAGATACAAGCTAAATTAGTTACAGCTACAGTTACTGAAATGACAAATTCTGACTAGTTACAGATCAAGATACACAAAAAATATCTAGATATTGTAATTAGATACATGTATTTACTGTAATTAGATAAATATATCTACTGTAATTAATAAGTATATCTAGATACATTAAAACACTAAATAATAGTTAAACTCGTTAAAAAAAGCGGCAAATAGATTGTCTGGCGCGATCTAGCAATACTGCGAAAAAACTTATTATATTGAACGGGTTTGAATCTTGGCTAAGCCAAGGGTTCAGTTCTTGACTAGGTAAGTTTGAGTTTCTGCTAATTGTAGTTCCAGCATTTCCGCTACGAGCCGCCACTATGTTTAACGGGAAACTGAGATCGCAGTACGACATAGCAATAAGTCAGACGAATTTTTATTGTCAAGTAGTCCGAGATTTACAACTGAATAACAAGTCAAAAGACTTTGACTTTCTTTTTTCAAGTTTCGTTTCAACAGCAGATTGGACAAGCTTGTACGCTACACGCCTTAAATTATTATGTATAATTAAGCAGAATTAATAAAATAAAAAATTTCTTTTTGTCATTACGAAAAAAAGGTAAAATTTAACAGGTTGTAACCGTGAAACAATTAATTATAATAAAAGTTAATGAAGTGATTTTAGAAGTATTTTACAGCTTAATGACTCTAGTTGTTGAAATATTACGATCATAATAAATATCGCTGTTGTTCTCGCAATCAATTCTTTCATAAAAATAAAAAAAAATGAGAACACCGATTAGTCAACTGTATATCGCCTGTCTATCGTAAAGCGTTAATCATTGCCAGGTCATTGAAGTGCCAATTTACCACTAACGTAACGTGTAAACGCTATTGATACGTAAGAGTGTATCGTTTCGTAAGCTACCTCCGTCGAATGCGTTGCGTCCACGTGCATCAATTCGAAATAAGGCCCTTAAAAGCTTCATCGAGATCCTCGTCTAGTAGGGTCGACGATAGTCGCGTAATGCTCTTTGAACGCTCCGCATTTTAAATTAAAGGCGGTTAACCGAGTCTTCCTCTTCAACGTACACCAAACGAACCCTCATCGTCGACAAAGGGAGAAAGAAAAAGAGAGAGAAATAGAGAAAGAGAGAGGGGAGGGGAGAGAGAGAGAGAAAGAGTAATGCGTTCGAGTTCCAGCCGAGCGGAAGTAACGTTTATCTCGGACATTTCTTCGCGAAACGACGTGTGTCGGTCGCTCACTGCGATGTACACACAAGCTGACTCTGAACTATACATGAGGTGGATTTTCAGACGTTCGAGGGAGCTGCTCTCGTAGGAAATACGATCGAAGATATATTATATTAACGTCTTCTTCCCTTTCACGCTGCAACAGCTCCTCGAAACCCCGGTACTTCTTTCTCCCTTCGAGCGAACCTACTTTAGAAGTTCCAAAAAGTTCTGTCACACGAATGACGATCGATGTCATTGTTGCACGACAATAATCCGTATCAAGTTTGTCGCGATTCAACGATCCATTTCGCGACTAGTCACCACGCAGAGGTGTGCTTTTCAACAACTTTTCTCGTGAACAACGGCAAAGCGCATCAAGAAAAAGAGAAACAGGTTCTCACTCACTGAACAACGCTATAGTTAGATGACTGAAGGTTGTGACACTTTCCCTGAGTCTCTTGCAACGCATTTTGTAGACGGAAAAAAATTAATTGTATTAATAAATATCAATTAATATATTAATAAATGTATTAAGCAATAATTGCGATTATATTATTGCCTTTGTATCAGTATAAATATCACTAGCGTCATAATTAAAATAAAATCTTTCGATTCAATAGCAATATTATAGAAATTAATACTCGAGTTATTAAAATACAATATGATGTATCGGTTTCATTAATATTACTATTGAATTTAGAAGATTTTCTCCAATTATGGCGCTGTTGATCAATTATGACTAATTATGTTGATACAACAGCCTTTTTCGTGTATCCAACAGAAAACTGTATCTTCTGAGTTATCAAAAATTGAATTGTTCTATCGGATACGAGATGTGTTGCAAAAGTCATTGAGGAGAAGTGTTACGAGCTTTAATCATCTGACGATGCATACAGAAAAACACATATATTCAAGTAGATGTTACTTGTTGCAAGTATGCCATTTATTTATATATCCGCAATTCTATTATAAGTTTTCTGCGTGGTGATTCGAAGTGCAACAAGCTTGATACGGATTATTGTCGTGCAACAATGACATCGATTGTCATTCGTGTGATAGAACTTTTTGGAATTCCTAAAGTAGGTTCGCTCCAAGAGAGAAAATATTGGGGTTTCGAGAAGCTGTTGCAGCATGAAAGGGAAGAAGATATTAATATAATATATCTTCAATCGTATTTCCTGCGAGAGCATCGAATTTATTCGAAATATATCTTGAATCCAGGTAAGTTTAGTATTTCAATCAAAAATATTAAATTGCAAGGAAAATTCGCTTTGCTTACTTATATGAAGTCGAACCAACTTATTCTACGATAAAATTTTATAATATTCTTATATAAAGAGAATAAATTCTTCTTCTAAATCTTATTAACTTATTATTATTCTTTTTTAATTAACTCATTTGAAGAGCTCATTGTTATTCTTCTGAATGATGAATATTTCTAAAATTTGTGGAAATTTTAAGACTATTGTCAAGAAAATATTTTTTGTTGAAGATAATTATTTAAAGAAAATAAACTGCAATCGCTTTTCTTAGCAGTAAAATAATTCTTTCTGTGTTTATCACGATTATTGAGATATTAGCAAAGGATAATTGATTAATCAATGTACACAATGCGTGATAGTGAGATGAGTTTTGTTGGCAGTCTGAAGAAACATGTCTTTTTCCCTGATCTCCTAGCAATTAAGTCAAAAATCACGCGTATAACGAAGCCTTTTCCTGTTATTTGATCTTCACCGTTGCTAGTAAAACAGTTAGTAAGATCAAGACATGTCTTTAGTCTGTACAAAAGTCATCTCACTACGTTGGACGTATTGATCAATCAAGTAGGATGATATTTCTTTGTGCGTGTGTATGCAATATGACCCTCAAGATGATCCTTCGTCACGCATGAGAAGAAACAATATTCCCGCTCGTCGTAGAGGATCTCCTTCCTTCCTTTTCTATTTCTTTCTAGTCGAGCTTGAATGTAAACACCGTCAGATAACGTTTCGGCCGCGATTGAGAAGTCGGGGGCGGACAATAAACCTCTCGAGTGAGCGCGCGCGAGAGCATTCTCATCTCCGAAGAGTCGCGCGGACCCGGGCGCGGCGACCAGATATATACCTACGTGTACGCGCCAAAGGACGAGCTACTGAACATTGCAGAGGCAATTTTCCCCGACAATGCCGGCCACTTTGTTTCGCCGGGGATCGCGGGTGTGCGTGCGTGCTTTGAGAGTCGCGCGTGACTCGGCTACAACGTTGCGGCGGTATGTACCGTTTCTTCGCCGCCGACGCCAAAGGGACTCCGGGGGCCCCGGAAGAGTGCCGGCCCCGGCGCCGTGCGCGGTCTTCAGGCACGCGGAAGAGGAAGTGCGCACGCGAGGAACGGTGACACGTTAATTAGGCGCCTTAGGCGATCCTGAGAGGTGACTGATTTGACCTCCTAGTGCGTTCAAACGCCTGGACGTTCACCCATCTGCCTACTCATTTGTCTGTCTGTTTGCTCGCTTATTCTTCATACTGACTTGGATACCGTTATTAATATCATAATTTAATAGGGAGTGAATTCTCTTCTTCTCGCAATAAAGCTTAGACTTAAATAAAGCTTAGACTTGTCGCGTTTTACTATGAAAAACGCGTCGAAATATAATGCTTTATCATCGACAACCGTTTCGCAAGCAAACAACTGTTTATAGGAAAGGGAAGGGGAGAAGCAAACGATTCCCTCAATTTTTTTCGCAGGAATATCTTTAACACGTTGAAATGATTTTTTATCTTTATAGATATAATCACTTTTACTTCACTCAATAAGATGCGGCAGCACGCTGAAATAAAAAATGGCTGATCTAAGTAAAATTATAGTTATTTTTAATTACAAATTACAAGTTAGATTATAGTTACAAATATTAAACATTTTTTTTCCCAGTGCATCATCAATGTCGATCAACGCGGTGTTCAACACGTTAATTAGATCGCGAGATCGCGCGAGAGACAGAAAATTCGCGGCTGGCCGCGAGTCCGGAGGCGGTGCGCTCAACCGAGTGTATTATCAACGAAAAAGGTCCGTAATTAGAGCTAAATTTATCCGCTAAATATACAAACCGCTTTTTCCCTCTTTCTCCCTTCCCCTTTCGCGTTAAAAAGCAAATTCCACAGTCTCTCTCTCTCTCTCTCTCTCTCTCTCTCTCTCTCTCTCT